TCTATCTGATTTTACACTTCTCGGAAAATGTTATTTGAGTCGAACGTAGGCTCTCCTTTCTGTTCTCTATCATTGTAACTGCTTTGGCAGATACATGTAAATTTGTATACACAGTTGGTGGTAACATGAAAGGATTGTATTAAAGAACATGTTATTTTGAACAGAACAATTAGTTTAGCTACAGGATAATTTCTTATCAATGCAGGTTTTAGTCTCAAATTAATTGACCCTGTGATATCATCACCTTTGGATTTGAGTTGAATAAAAACAGGTTTCTCATCATCATTGCTTACTTACTTACTTACGCCTGTTACTCCCAATGGAGCATAGGCCGCCGACCAGCATTCTCCAACCCACTCTGTCCTGGGCCTCCTTTTCTAATTCCATCCAATTCTTGTTCATCTTTTTCATGTCTATTTCCATTTCTCGGCGTAATGTGTTCTTTGGTCTTCCTTTTTTCCTTTGGCCTTGAGGATTCCATGTGAGGGCTTGTCTTGTGACGCAGTTGGGTGCTTTCCTCAATGTGTGTCCTATCCACTTCTAGCGCATCTTTCTGATTTCTTCCTCCGCTGGGATCTGGTTTGTTCTCTCCCACAGTACGTTGTTGCTAATAGTGTCCGGTCAACGGATCTGAAGTATTTTGCGTAGACAACTGTTAATAAACACCTGTATCTTCTGGATGATGGCTTTCGTAGTTCTCCAGGTTTCCGCCCCATACAGTAGAACTGTCTTCACATTTGTATTGAAAATCCTGACCTTGGTGTTGGTTGACAGTTGCTTTGAGTTCCAGATGTTCCTCAGTTGTGAATATGCTGCTCTTGCTTTGCCGATCCGCGCCTTCACATCTGCATCAGATCCACCATGTTCATCAATGATGCTGCCCAAATATGTAAAGGTTTTTACATCTTCCAAATCTTCTCCGTCAATTGTGATTGGATTGGTGCATGCTGTGTTGTATCGGAGAACCTTGCTCTTCCCTTTGTGTATATTGAGACCTACTGCTGCTGAGGCTGCTGCTACACTGTTCGTCTTCTCCTGCATTTGTTGTTGCGTTTGGGATAGAAGGGCCAGATCATCTGCGAAGTCCGGATCGTCCAACTGCATCCTAGATGTTCATTGTATCTCGTGCTTCCCTTCAGATGTTGACGTCTTCATGATCCTTACGATGCTCCACTGCCTTATTATTTACTACATCATTATTCACCCTCTTTTATACTTATACAGCGACTTGTCTTTGGTGGAAATTCGACTCTATCTAAACGTTCTCGAGTCACTGTCCGGTTGAAAATTGTATGTTATCACCGAATACGAGGACTGAAGCAGTTTTTCTGAAACCACGTGCACCATTCAAACTGGCTGCCTTCAACGTTCGCACATTTATGCAGGTTGGACAACAGATAAGGCTGGCTATGTCTTTGGAAAGTCTTAATATCGATGTCTGCTGTCTATCCGAGACCCGTATTCAAGACTCTGGCCAAGTACTACAAATTCAATCTACATCTGTCGATTCAAAAAGCTTGTTTTACGTGCGCTTAATCGGGGACCCTGTGGCATCTTCGTCTGGTCTTGCTGGCGTTGGTGTCGCAATAAGCGCTAGAGCTGAGGCAGCACTAATAGATTGGATCCCCATTAACAGTCGGTTATGTGCTGTTAGAATAGAAAGTTCCATCAAAGTGAGAATAAATCGGCGTGAGAAACGATGTCTTTTCGTCATCTCCGCCTATGCTCCGACAGATTGCAGCCCGGATGCAATCAAGGATGAGTTTTACCACCAGTTATCTGTTCTTCTCCAGAAAGTGCGTTCGACAGATATTGTAGTACTAGCCGGAGACTTGAATGCTCAGGTCGGGTGTCTAAGCACAGAAGAGAGTCGTCTAGGTGACCGATGGGGACTCGTTGGTCGCAGGTCAGATAACGGGGACTGTCTACTGCAACTTTGCACAGACCACAACCTGTTTCTGACTAGCACTAACTTTCGGCACAGTCATCGCCGATGTGCCACCTGGCGTCCTACCTCTGCATCCCAAGCCTGGACTCAGATTGATCACATCGCGATCAGCTACCGCTGGCGTGGTTGTGTACAAGACTGCCGCTCCTTTTCGAAGACCTATCTGGACTATGACCATGCTTTGGTCTGCACCAATCTTGCCTTACTTTTCAGTGGCCAACGAAGTGACCGCCACCAATGGATTGATGTTAGCAAGTTGGTTGCAACTTCTGTTACAAGTAAATATCAAACCGAGCTAGTTTCTAGGCTAGTTATCACTCCACCGAAAAGTATAGATGAGCATTGGTTGCAATTGCATGACGCCATGAAAATGGCGGGTACAGTCAGTTGTGGGTTTGCGAAACCTCCCGCTTATAAGCATTGGGTTTCTGCAGGTTCCTTACAACTCATTGAAGCCCGTCGGTCTACTCCGGGTGACCGTGAGTTTGACCATAAACGAAGGATGTTACGTAAAGAAATTAGGCAAAGCTTTGCGTAAGGACCGAGAAGCCTGGTGGTCGGAGCGTGCTAATGAACTGGAAGCAGCAGCTGCATCTGGTAATTACCGGTAGCTCTTCCAACTCGTCCGAGCCACTGGCAGCAAGAAGTCTGGTGTGAGCGAAACAATCCTCGAGGATGATGGGATGCCAATCACTAACATCCATCGACGTCTTGGACGATGAGCAGAATTCTTCGAAGGGCAGTTCAACTGGCCTGCTGCCAGTCTACTTCCGATTGCGTCCAAGCTATTGGCTTCCGTCATACTTCGTAGGTTATTCAAAACCCGAGAAAGATTGATTCGCGAGGAGCAGGCTGGGTTTCGTTCTGGTCGAGGATGTATTGATCATATCTTCACTCTCCGCCAAATGTTAGAACACCACCATACTTATCAAAGGCCAACAATCGTAGTGTTTCTTGACATCAGAGCTGCCTTCGATTCGTTGGACAGGACTGTTCTCTGGGATTGTCTATTAAAGAAGGGTGTGCCTGAGAAGTTTATTAACATCCTAAAAGCCCTATATACAAACACCTCAGGCAGAGTGAGGGCATACAACCACCTTTCTTCATTGTTCTATTCGAGCAGTGGGGTTAGGCAGGGTTGCCCAATCTCACCATTCCTCTTCAACTTTGCCATCGACGACATTCTGGAAACAGCTCTCATGGATGTAAATAATGGCGGTGTGGATCTATTGCCTGGAGAAAGACATATCGATCTTGAGTATGCGGATGATATTGTCTTACTGTGCGGTAATGCCCAAGGCATGCGATCCGCACTTAATCAGTTGGCAATCAGTGTCCGTAGGCATGGTATGTGCTTTGCACCTTCGAACTGCAAAGTACTTCTACAAGACCGGCAGGATTCCAATCCTGTACCCACCCTGGATGGTGAGCAGATAGACGTAGTCGAGAAGTTCGTGTATCTGGGTAGCTGCGTAAGTGCTGGTGGTGGCGTGAGTGATGAGATCAATGCACGTATAGTGAAAGCCAGAGCGGCTTATGCCAATCTGGGCCACCTTTGGCGCCTTCGTGATGTTAGTATGGCTGTAAAAGGTCGGATCTACAACGCGTCGGTGAGAGCAGTTATGCTTTATGCTTGTGAAACCTGACCTCTCCGAGTTGAGGACGTTAGACGACTCTCTGTGTTCGATCATCGCTGTCTCCGAAGGATTGCTGACATTCAGTGGCAACACCATGTCAGTAATGCAGAGGTTCGGCATCGTGTGTTTGGGCACAGAGATGATAATTCAATTGGTGTCACCATCTTGAAACACCGACTTCGGTGGCTTGGACATGTTCTACGAATGTCGTCCCAGAGAATTCCACGTCGTGCACTATTTGTCGACTCTGGGACCAGTTGGAAAAAGCGGAGATAGTCAGTGTATGACATGGTGTCATGTTATGAAAGTTGCACAGGACTGGCTTCTGTTGGTCCTTCACGACTCCCTTGGTTAGGGTCCGAGAGATGGTGCTACACAGTGGCTAGAGATGTTATCAGATAGGGCTCAGAATAGAAACCAGTGGCTATCCTGCTGTAACCTTCTTTTACTTTCTTCATAAAAAGTGGTTGTGTCTTCCTTAAGTGAAAGACTTCTTCTGATTGTACTTTTCCGTTCCCTCATTATTACTATTATTATTACTACACTACCTTACACCCTCTTCGTTATTGTTCTCCTTATTTTACGCTCCTTACCTTTTTTTCTTCGAATTCTCATTGTTTTGTGTGGCGCATATATATTGGCGCTCTCTTGTACCAATATTTATGTGATCAAATAAATAAACAAATATAAATAAATAAAACAACACCCCCGCCATAAGAAGATAGTGAGTAGGACTTCCCTGATAGTGGTTATATACGCGTCGCCATGTGACAGTATTTGGAGAGGGACAGCTGCGTCTCTTCAGTCTTGGCCGTATCAAGGCATTTTGGTGGGCGAATATGTTACTTTCAGATCACATAACTTAATTTCGACATATTAACTTAATGTAATATCTAAACAAACTTATGATATACAATGAAAAGTTCGGGGGGGGGCAGTTCCAAAATATCAACAGTCATTCAAAAAAATATTTAAAAAAGTATATCATTTACCTCAATTCTATGAAGTAATATTTCTTTCATTAAACAACATGAATTGATATTATGAATACATTGATTATATACATTAGTAAGAATAGAATTTTGATTAATTTCTTTTAATGAATAATGATTCTCATCAATAAAATCAGTTTTAATTGATTGATGATTATAAGTCATTTCAATAGTTGGTTTATTTGTATGAAATAATTCATTCATTTGACAACAAGTAAAAGATTTGGGTACAGAAATATTGTTATTATTATTATTATTATTATTATTATTATTATTATTATTATTATTATTATTATTATTACTATCATTATCATTAGTAGTAGTCATAGTATTTGTAAGAATAATGCTAGATGTTTTATCAAAAGACTGTCTCCTGTCATATTCATGATTGTGATGTTCACTAACATTATCAGTAATGTGAGGATTATTATTATTATTATTATTATTATTATTATTATTATGACTATTATCATGAGCAGTAGTCATAGTATTTGTAAGAATAATGCTAGATGCTTTGTCAAAAGACTGTTTCCTGTCATATTCATGATCATAGTGTTCACTACCAACATTATAAGTAATATGAGGATTATTATTATTATTACTATTAATATCATTGGTAGTAATTGTATTAATATTGATTGAAGGAAGTAAATGTGTTCTATCTTGTGTAGAATTCGTTGGATTCAAATATACAATACAACTATTAGAATTTTGATGATTTTTTTTACAATATAATACTTGATATAAATTAGATAATAATAATAATTCTGTATCAAATTTACTTATTATATGATTTTTAGGTCTAAGCCAAATCCAATAAATGATCAAATGAACAATGGATGCTAATATTATATGAAGAAATATCAAACTGAATATCTATATACACATTAAAGAAGATAATTTAAAAAAATTAAGAATTATATAATATATTGTATTTTTTATTTTTTATTTGAACACACAGATAATGGTACAATGGGGGGCACCAGATACATATGTGCCATACAAATCCCCCAAATTCCCTGGTACGGCCAAGAGTGTGGAGAGTCAGCTCTCTCTCTTCAAATGCTCTCAAGTAGCCACATGCATCCAACCACTGCCAGGAAAGTCCTACTCACTACCTTCTCGTAACATTACTACTGTCTACGAAATTAACAACACGAAAAGCGAATATCCGGCAATTTAAACAAGTTGGTGGATATGGAGAGTTTACCTAGGGGAGTTGGAAAACCTTCATTCCAAACCAATGGTGTACATGAACTCCGGGATCCTGAAGGAACAAATGGCACATGAACCAATTGTTGGTCACTGACTACCATCAGACTGAATCTCCTCACGCTGAACTACTGCCTTGTAGAAAAGACCTTTAGGTCGAAGGCTCCGGGTGTGGCCCCCTAAAAATCCACCTGTTTCGGTTTGGGGACCTGAGCAGTATCCCAGGATACATACAAATCGAATGATTTGTATGGCGTATATCTATTCGGTGCCTCCTTGTACCGATGTTTATGTGTTTAAATAAAAGTAAATAAAAGTAAAATAAGGTTTTATTTAATGTTATAAAATAGCTGAATAGTGCACCATGACAACTTCATGAAGAATTCAAACCCATAGGAATATATCTCAGATCTCGTGGCGAGTGCATGGTCGATTTTTAATAGCTAAGTGGGAATCTGGTGATCCATAAAATAAAAAAACTGTAGTAAGTTCAACACAATACACTGTTGTCATTATATCACTATCAGTGATAAGTGTTTCAGAATTCCGAAAATCATGAACTTTACTGGCAGTCATAGCTTCTAATTGAGTAATTTCAAAAAGACTCCCCTAACAATCAAAGATAGCGTGTGGTTTGCAATGAGTAATACTGAGAGGTCAGTAATAATGTGAAACCATCAAAATCAGGATAACAAGCCTTCCAACAGCACCAAGCTGCTGATGAGTTAAAGATAAAAACTACCTTCAAAGTTATTGTAATAATAAAATGTTTAATTCAGCCTAGTTTCTCTCTGAAATTTGTATCTTCATATTATAAGAAGTTAGTCGTTTTTTACGTATTATTCAATCATAAGATGAATCTATGTCAGATGGGGTTCAACCTTGAAACTTCATGATCAACTGTAAAGTGGGGACTAAGGTGGTAAAACCTATTCCAATTAAGAAGCTAAAAAATAAACAAATAAATAATAAAGAATGGAAAACGCATTGACCTACGTTTAAAATCATTGTATTCATTTGACAGAAATTATGAATAAATACTCCAAAATTATATAACCATACAGGCCAACTGAACTGTAACCATAACAAACCAAGTACGAATTGTTTCCATTCTGAGAACAATGATGATGATGATTCCATATGATAATGTTGATGTTTATAATCTCTCCTAGATAAATATGAATTGAATAAAGATTTTGCATTGTATTCATTTGGATTATTAGTGACACTACTACTGCTGGGGCTGAGAAGGTTGTTGTCACTACTACCACCACTATCACTGTTAATATGATGACTTTTAGAGTTCGTAGTGCCAGTTGTAGTTTGTTTAAATTTTTCTTTATAATTTTTTGACAATGTGGCAGTAGTAACATCTAATCTTGATAGATAAACATCATCATTTGTTTGATAACTATCATCTGATTCAAATTCCACATCATCAACATCTTCATTATTATTACCTACAACCATATCACCATCAACCATCATATACCAGTCATCATGTTGAGATTTAAGCCATGGATTCCAATCTAGAGAACTTTCAAAGTCAGGCAATGGTGGTGGAGAAGTAAGTGATGTGACTAAATTTGATGATTTTGGAGTAGATGAACTTGATACAGTCCCTCCAGTATTGGCTGGTGTTGTTACTACTGATTCTGATGAAGATGATGAACTGGGAGTGGTGGAAGATAGAGGAGAAGATGTTAATGTTAAATCCGGTTGACCAGATGACGAAGAAGCAGGTAATGAATTCAATAATCGAGATTTTATACGCGCAGTTAAATCATTCAATTGTAATTCTAATTGTGAAATACGATGCTGATTAAATAAAATAAAAATATTAAATTAAGAGTAAACATGTGTTATATTCATAAAATACAAATTTTTCGGTAGTTTTGTGTTTTCTGAACTAAGTGGTTTTATTACAGAGATTTCGTTGTCCTTTAGGAAAAAATCATCAGTGTCTACATTAAATAAAAGTGAGATTTGCAGTTAACTTCTCAATTCATTTTAAAGGTATTATTTGTGATTAGTTATGTTGACTTTCTTGTGGTGGTTGACTGACATCTATTTTATGGATTGATAGACTGATCTGTGTCGATGTGACTACAAAGTACCAGTAGATCTGAATGTCATGATTTCAGAAATTCTCTAAAATCGCTAGCTCTCTCAATCCAGAAATTCGATGTTTCTATAGTCCAATTCATGTTCATGGTTGACTAATTGCAATGATATTACTTGTGGAATAAATAAAATGTCCACTTTTACAAAATGTAGGCAACTAATGTCAATCAAAACGATAATAAATGCTCCCCAATTAAACTATCTACCTTAGACAGTAGAGTCAGTCAGTCAACTACAACGTAGGACCAGGTACATATATGCATCGGTCCAAGTTGCCACACTTCATTAGCACAGCAAGATAAACACCGGATTCATAGTAGTTAATCCACTGATAATAATATGTAAGAGAAAGAATCGATTCGTAGAAAGAAAGATATAATGCGATTTTAATCTCACAGTTTAAGGTAAGAAAAGGGGTGCATACACCTACGCAATTGTGATAGATTCTGAACCGTGTTACCCAGAGTCTCTAACAATTGGTTATGATAATCACGTGGGCAGTACAGTATCATCAAGATTTCCCATCTGAGCGTCAAACCTCCATTATTAATTTGATTTATAACGATTTCTAATATCCTACTATTGATGTTTTTCTCATTGATAAATTTGACTAAACTAAACATCAAAAACGTGATAGAATAAGGTTAATTCATTTATTTAATAGATTTCCATCAGTCGCTTACAATTTAAAAACTATAGTAATGATTCACTTAATATTGTTTTAAAGAGAGCAAGAACAAAGTTTAGTGCAGAATAATATGAATTCATTTTATTTCGTCAGGTTCTCATCAGCTGCTTACAACCTAAAATGTTTGAAATTCAAAGTTATTATAGATATTGACATACTTATACAACAGAGGGCGATGAAGGATGAATATATGTAGCATAATGTAACGAAATCTTTGCTACATTATGTTACATATACTCATCCTTCATCGCCCTCTGTTGTATAAGTATGTCAATATCTATAATAACTTTGAATTTCAAATATTTTAGGTTGTAAGCAGCTGATGAGAACCTGACGAAATAAAATGAATTTATATTATTCTGCACTAACCTTTGTTCTTGCTCTCTTTAAAATAATAAAGGGAACTATGTGTATAATGTTGTTTCTTGGATCTTCCCATTGATCAGTTTCTTATTGGCATATGTATAAACTGTGAGTATTGCCTCGATATTGCCATAATTCACAAGTCTTTTAAGCAAAGATGGATAGTGGCTAGCAGTGAAATCTAGTTTGACATGCGTTCCGTCCTATTGGGGATTCGTGAGCTGGATGTACCTTCATCTCAGAGTTGATGTTCACTCTGGGACCCGAACCCCGTACTGTACGCTCCAAACGCCATTGCGTCATACACTTAACTACTGAGACTTGATGGTCGCTTGCTTGTGCAGTGGGGTGAATTTAAATTCACCTGGTACTGTTTGTTTGAATCTTCCCATTGATGTTTAAGACTGCAATTGATCGAGTCCCAGAGTGAACATCAACTCTGAGACACAGGTACATCAAGCTAACGAGTACCAAATAGGACGAAACACGCGTCCTGTATTTCACTACTAGCCATAATCCATCTTTGCTTATAGTAATGATTATTTACAATTAATTTACATACTTTCGATTCTATTCAAAAAGATTAGCAGAATAATAACAACAGTTAGAGAAGAAATATAAAACTGTTTATAAACAGGAAACATCCTATGTTATAAAGTGATGCATATTGGATAGATACTTTATATATTACTAAATGTGAAAATTGTAGAGGAAAAAACTTAGAACACATGAAGATATGTTTCTAGAGGAAGAAAATCGACATCAATGTTATCCAATAACAACCATAAACTTTGGCAATATAACAGAGTGAGATAAGTAAAAGGCTGAAAAAGATCCAAGAATGAAACAAAAGAAATCTATTATAGAGAAAATGAAATAGAATATTATGTAGACTGATAATTAGCAGGGTATTTAGAGATTTACAACTGTATCCTTTAGAATATATAAGTTTGGTTTAAACTTTTCAACAGTGATGCCCTCTTCAGGTAACATAATAAACTTGAAGTAGTTTCAGTATTGATTATTTTGATCGATTTTAAAGTACTAACATGGTGTCCACTATCAAACATCCCAAATCACTACAAATCGAATTGAGTACCCATCTGGACACAGTAGCTAAGTTGATAATGCGTTGCGTGTTTGAAGTGAAAGGTAAGAGGCTTAAGTCACAAAGTGATCGTCAACTCCAAGACGGACATACATCCAATCCTGAATTCCACAACCAGCTACATCCCATTTTCTTGATCATTATTTAGATAAGCATTTCTATTTAAATACATTTGGAAAAGAAAGTGGTGAATAAGAACACCAATTTGATTAATATTGACAAAACATTTTACGATAGTTAGTGAGATACGATAGGAAGAACGAAGATGACGATTCATATATTCAATCAAACAATGTTAGCAGTTATCACTCGCCACCACCTAAGATTTGTTACAACCAAAGGTATATACTTTATAGTTGAAGCTTACACAACTAGTTAAAACACATGATTGAAAACGAGTGATAATTTACAACAAGTGATGTCTGTTCGTCGATTTTATGGCCTTCTCTTCCGGTTGATTTTCCCTATTACTGGGGTGTGCTAATTTAGACCGATAGATATTTATCTTAGCTTATCAATGTACATCAATCAAGGTAATAATATAGAGAATCATTTGAGCCAGTGTAATGGTAGCAATATTCAGCTATTCGAAAAGTATATATACGTATTTCATGATTTATTGGGCAGTTGCTTCAGCTTATTACGGAACTCTTAAGTGTTATATTTCCACAACCCCACCAAGGATTGAACTCAAGACCTTTTAGGTTTTGCAGCAAATGCCTAGAATTTAAACCACTGAGTTGATTTCTGATAGTTTACATTGCTAACTTCAACTACATCATGACAATATGCTACTATTTTCTGATGCCACTGATGGGTAATTGATTTCACATGTAAAAATGTTCAAATTTTAACTGGTCACAACTTTTGAAAAGAATATAGAGAATCAACTTTAAAAGTTAAGTATCAGTTAGCAAATGATTATTATTAATGACACGGATTTATGATTATTGAATTTAATGGTTTAGATTATGAAGGAATCTTAGTTCTTCATAAATTCTTTACAATTTAAACAAATTTCCCAACTATGACTGACAAATGTTGAATAAAGGGGCATATAAATTGAATCCTTCTAACTCAAGATATTATTTATTTTTAATAATTGAATTTATGAGTCAATTGAAGATAGATCACCATAGAAAACCTGAAAGCACTGGATAGCCGTTTCGTCCTAGTATGAGACTCCTCAGCAGTGAGCATACACGATCTCGCCTCGCAAGATCCCAACTCAGAACCTATCAGTCTCTCGCGTGAGCGCTAAATCACTAGACGGTGTTAATGTTTAACTTCAACCAATTCAGATATTATGTTAATAATAAGCATAAAATGAATTATAATAAATAAAATTTTAATTTTATTTATTTTAACTAACTTGTTGTTGACGATCACGTTCTTCAGCACTATGAGCTGTTACTTTTAACCAAGCATAAGTAAGATTAAATGAACGTGCTAAACGTTCCATTTGACGACGATAACTTTGACTAAGTTCTTCTAAGTACCTATAAAATTAAGAAATATATATATATATAAATCATAGAAAGAATCCAATATTTGACTTGTTCACAATATAGAATTTTAGTATTTCTTTATACCTTTATTATTTATTTATTATAACACATAGTTATTGGTACAAGAAGGCACCAAATACATATGCGCCACACAGATCTCATTCGATGTGTGAGCGCTGTGATACTGCTCAGGTCCCCAAACCGAAACAGGTGGATTTTTAGGGGGCCACACCCGAAGCCTTCGACCTAAAGGTCTTTTCTACAAGGCAGTAGTTCAGCGTGAGGAGATTCAGTCTGATGGTAGTCAGTGACCAACAATTGGTTCATGTGCCATTTGTTCCTTCAGGATCCCGGAGTTCATGTACACCATTGGTTTGGAATGAAGGTTTTCCAACTCCCCTAGGTAAACTCTCCATATCCACCAACTTGGTTAAATTGCCGGATATTCGCTTTTCGTGTTGTTAATTTCGTAGACAGTAGTAATGCTACGAGAATGTAGTGAGTAGGACTTTCCTGGCAGAGGTTATTTACGCGTGGCCATATGAGAGCATTTCGAGAGGGAGAGCGAACTCTCCCAACTCTCGACCGTACCAGGGCATTTCTTTATACAGATCTTTCTACATTGTCTTTTTGAACTAAGTATATATCAAATGTTTGATTGTTCTTATTATAATTGCTACCAGAGTATTTCAATCTATTTTGCTAAGTATATTGATATTTTCATCTCATCATACTAATGTGATATGATTATTTTGTTCAACGAATATCTTTTCCCAGACTTTAATATGATGGATGAATGATTAACTTTATAAGGAAATTTTATGTTGAAAATCAATGGTGTGTAAAATTAATGGGTGATCATTATAAGATCGAAATGTGTTTAGGTTTGACCCATAGAAAAGTTGGATGTGTTCAATATTTAAAAGTTTGGTATTAATAAGAAACAGATATTTAGTAGTTAAAAAGGAGTTACAAGAGTTAAAATGTCAAAATTTTGAATCTATTATTTGAGGGAATTAATGTTTTTATATTTTTAATATAAAATGTACTTAACACATGATATTTATTTAGTGTTCTAATTTTCAGTTTCTCTTCAACTTATCAATAAGTGTGATATCTTTTACCATTCGTCATATATGACACATATATTACATATATCGTACACTTATTATATAATGTGGTACCTTAAATATACGGGCGATTTATGATAGAGTATTATCATTATTTCATGTATATGAATCACATGAGTTTGTAACATGGAATAATGCGAGATATTAAGTTTAAGGATGACAGAATTTCACGTAGGTCATTAACCGTTAGCATATATATTAACTAAGTAATTGAACTCATAGCTACTGCAGTATGCACGCAATCATCATTTTGTTGAAGTACATAAATCACTAGTTTTATTTACAAGGATTTTATCAAAGCTTATCACGATTACATTTATATGATAAATAAAAAATCATTTGTATGATTCATCTTGCAATGATTGTTTGAAACTTCTCATTGATGTTTAGGACTGCAATTGATCAATCTGTTGTTAGTGTATGTACATCCTGTGCGGATCACCTCGATATTGCCTTCAGTCGCAGACATTATAAGCAGAGATAGATGATGGATAGCAGTAGAATCCAAAACGCGCTTTTCGTCCCACTTGGGACTTGTCAGATGGATGTACCTGAATCCCAAAGTTGATGTTCAGTTCGGGACTCAAACCCAGTACCATTAGCTTCAGATGTTATGGCATAATCTACTTTACCGTGAAACGCATGTCCTGGGTTCCACTGCTAGTCACTATCCATCTTTACTCTTCATCCTTGTGAATTAAGGTAATATCGAGGCAATAAGCACAGGATGCACATATGCCAATAGGAAAGTGATCAATTGTAGTCCTAAAAATCAATGGGAAGATTCAAACAAACAATACCAAATGAGTGTTAACTTCACCCCATTGCACAAGCAAACAACTATCAGGACTCAGTAGCTGAGTGGATAACACGATGGCATTTGAAGCGAACAGTACGGGGTTCGAGTCCCAGAGTAAACATCAACTCTGAGATGCAGGTACATCTGTGGTGTGGGTTACTTATATCCACACAAGTAGTGTATAACGGTGGTGAGGCATAGAATGTATTTCAGTAGATGGTAGACGAGGGAAGAACGGGAACGGAACGCAATTGGTATGAAAAAGCATGAACAATGAAATCTGAGACAATGGATTGATGTTTGCAACAGGAACAGTCAAGTTTGATATGATGGATTGATATTTTGCAAACTAACGATTTACTATATGGTTCTCAGATTTTATTGAGATGCTCTGTAATTTAGTGCCAACTACATTCTATTGTTCCCACTAGTGTTCATTGTTCACTACGCATTCAGCCCACCAATCCCAAATAGGACGAAACGCATGTCAAACTAAATTTCACTGCTAGCCACTATCCATCTTCGCTTAAAATGGAATATTATTAGAATAATATTCATTTACTCCTTTGTCTGTTTATACATTCAATCTATGGGATAAATATAAATCTGACAAGTACATCACATACGTTATATATGTTATACCCCGACCGTCGTTACTACCTTTATGTGGTGGTCAAGTTTGCCTATCGTAATGGGCTAATCGAGCTATATTGGCTAGAACATATGTTCCTGTAAGTTCTACCATACCAGGCAGGTCGATTGGAGAACGATAAGACTAAAAGCAGCAACTCAAGGTCTGAGGGCGAAGTCGTACTGCTGACTGTAAAGGGGTGTGACAGCAGTAAGGTGTTTCCCTCAACCAGCATCTGCAGCGATGCTGCCTTCTCACAAGGGAGGACGGGGTTAGAAAAGTTCGACCCTAAAATTGTCCCACCTCACCTTACCTCACGGATTTCCGTCTCCGGCGATAAGGTCTTTTGAAGAACGGAGCTAACACATTAAAAACCTTCCACGAAAGGGCCATGCGCGACCGGCCTCAAGCAGTTGTCCCTTGGGCTCTGCGGTCACGCTCCCAGGTCGTTAAGACCAACACTAATCTAATTTCCTTTTCAGGTTCCTCAAGAAATACCCTTCCACGGTGTGGGCAACCGGGAAGTGACATCAGCCCTCATACCTGTAATAGCAGACGAGCCCAAGTTGGTCACATTCAAATCCTGACTGATTGAAACATGTTATACTGATACTATTACTATTTTAAATGATAATTATTTTACAAAACTATACATGAACTACTTAAAAGTATTATACATTGATATATTTGACAACTGATTGAAAACTAAATAATAACAAAAAAATACAATGAATTAATTACTGTGAAAATAAATACTAATGAACACACCTAGAAATAAGACATAGAACTGATTAAAAGAATTCCAAATTTTTATGCCTTAAAATACAGTTGAATCTAGAATAATGATAAAATGAACTGAGAGTTTATTCCTATTTAAGGATTCTTTTAATAGGACACATCATTAGTCTTGCAACCATTTTAATATTTATTTCAAAAAAAAATAAACAATAGAGTAATTTATAGTTTAAAAAAATTAAAATTATTTTGATGAAGTTTTGTTTACTGCATTGAATGAAGTTTGTGTTGATGATTTCGGTCAGAAGAATGATTAAAGCTCCATGAATAAAAAAAATCTAAATATTCTTCCTTGTAAAGCTAATCGCGAAAACATTAATCCCAAATTCATAGTTCCGTACGACCTTTGCTTTTCTTGAAAATCACTATAAGACATCAACTATTGCTAATAACGTAGATGCCCCTAAATGCCCTGCTACGGCCGAGAATGGGGAGAGTCCGCTCTCCCTCTCGAAATGCTCTCACATAGCCACGTGTATATAGCCTCTGCCAGGGAAGTCCTACTCACTGACTTCTCGCACCACGGGTGTTGTTTACGAAAATGAGAGGACGAAAAGCGAATGTCTGGCGCTTTAGCCGGATTCCAAACCAATGGTGCACATGGGCTACAGGATCCTGTGGGAACAAATGGCGTATGAACCAATTGTTGGTCACCGGCTACCATGGGACTACATCTCCTTACAATCCTCCACTGCCTTGTGGATCAGACTTTCAGGTCGAAGGCTCGAGAAGTGGCCCCCTAAGAAAACCATCTGCTTCGGTTTGGGCACCCGAGCAGTATCACAGCCTTCACACATATCTAATGAGATATGTGTGGCGCATATGTATTTGGTGCCTTCTTGTACCAATATCTATGAGTTAAAATAATAATTAAATAATAAGGTAGATGCACTCAAATGCTCTGGTACGACCGAGGGTGGGGAGAGTCCGCCCCTTCTATCGAAATACTTTCACATGGCCATGCGTATACGGCCACTATCAGGGAATTCATACTCACTCCATTCTTGTGATCGGGGTGTTGTTTACGAAATTGACAACACGAAAAACAAATGTCCGGCTCTTTAACCAGGTTGGTGGATATGAAGGATCCACCTAGGGGAGTTTGAAAACCCTTATTCCGAACCAATGGTTTATATGGGCTCCAGTATCCTGTAAGAACAAATGGTGTATGAACCAATTGTTGGTGACCGGCTACCATGGTACTGCATCTCCTAACGTTACTCCATTGCCTTGTAGATTAGGCCTCTAGGTTAAAGGATCAGGGAGTGCCCCCCCCTAAAAAACAACCACCTGTCTTGGTTCAGGTGTCCAAACAGTAGCTCAGCCCTCATACAAATCGAATGTTTTGTGTGACGCATACGAATTTGATGCCTCCTTATATCAATGTTTATGTGTTTAAATAAATAAATAATAAATAATTAACATAATAACTAAACAACTTTTTATTTTCAGATTTTATCATGTTATTGTCTGCATGCGTATATCGAGTTGAATAATGAAATCGTATAACAGATTGGATATTGAATTGTAGTCAAATTGATTAATGAAATATTTCATTGAACGGTGAAACAGAAGTAGACGTTATTTACGTCCAGATAAGGAAGTTAAAGTTAACCTTGTTCAATTATCATCAAACAAGTAGTATATTTAAAAGATTAGAATTTATAAATGATTTTGTTATAAGTGAGATATGAATAGATAGACTAGTAATTGGAATTATGGTGACCTTCACATCTGAGGGGAAGCGCGGAATACAATGGACAGATTGGATACAAATAGATGATTTGGAATTCAAAGATGACCTAGTTCTTCAATCCTATACATACTAACAAATTCAGGTGTAGACAGTTAGTGTAGCAACAGCCTCTGCATCAGTAAGCCGCCACACATACAAGGGAAAAATCGAGATGCTTAAGTACAGCACAGCGGGTGGGTGGTCTATGCTCCTCTCTACAAACAGTAAGTAGTGTTTCTAATTAGCTCTATAATAAGGACAACAACTAAACTTCTAGGCAAGAAATGACAAATAAGGGAATCGAAAATCAGACATGTACTAACCAAGCTAAAATATTCATCATCACAGAACAATTTGAAAAAAGATGAGAGTACGACTATGTATTCATTTATACGATAGTATGAAAATTATTACAAAGAAACGCTAATTTTCAAGATTTTCACAATTAAAGATAGAAAATTCTAAGTGGTAACATTGTCTTAGATCGATTGAAATGTTTACGACATCTGAAACCATTGAATCGTTTCTGTAAACTACTATGTCTTCCACTGGTTTTCTCTTCATATAAAGTTGAAAAATATGATGAATGATGAAATTACATTCTCTAACTACTTCTAACAAGAAAGAAATGATGAACTGACTGATAAGGCGAATTTACTTTCATTTATTAGCTGTTAATTTACTACACTGACTAATATAGGAGTAGATTTAAAGAAAATCAACAGCAAAAAATTCTAGATATGACATGCAAATGGATTCAATCTTTACTGTCTTACAAATTTATAGATCATCATTCTTCAGTACAGTTTATTCGGTTGTTTGATTTGTTTACGTAAGCGGATCACTAATATGAGTATAAAGTGTGACAACTTAAATAAATACAGACTAATGGAAGACTCTAGTGTTTATCACTAACTGACTAATCGAAGAATTCGATGTAATTCATTCAAGTACTTGACTTTAATACATGGTTTCATTGACTGACTTTAACCAGATGGAATAGAATTTGAACCAACAAATTTAATGAATACAAATTGATTAGCTTAATCAACTAAGATACGACAGTCTAATGGAGATATAATCACATTTTTGATGAATAAATATATTCAACAACAAAAAAAGACAAAGATAAAACAATAATATTACAAAAATTAACATACCTCATACTGACAGAAACATTACGTTCAATAATACGTACACGATTATTAAGACGCATATATGCTGTTGATCTATGTGATCCACCTAAAGCAGCTGGTACAACTAATCCTTCATTATGTGAATGTGGACGATTAATTTTATGCGATTTAATTGATGTGGATGATGATGATTTTAAACTATTAGATGATTTACTATTTCGACTTTGAATAATCATATCAGCTGAATGAGAATAATTTTCAATGAACATTTTCTCATTTATATTGTTATCTGTTGAATCGATTAGATCAGGAATAACAGGAGATTTAAATGATGATGTTGATAATTCAGAATATTTAGTTGATAATAAAAATGATGGCAATCTGAAACACTATAAAAGTGAAAATAAATATAAACAAAAACAAGGAAAATTACCAGTAAAAAGTTATGGAAATTGTTAAATGATTTCAGTAAAATTAAAATTCTTCATATGTATTAACTTACAAAGCGAAGTGTTCAAATTGTAATGATTATTTATTTAAGCACATAAACTTTAGTATAAGGCGGCACCAAATAGATATGCTCCACATAAATGATTCGATTTGTATGAGGGCTAGGATACTGTCCGGGTGCACAAATCGAAACAAGTGGTTTTCTCAGGGGGGCCACGCCCCGAAACCCTTGACCTAAAGTTCTAATACACAAGGCAATGGAGTAACGTAAGGAGATGCAGCCCCATGGTAGCCTGTCCCCAATAGTTTCCTCATACGCCATTTGTTTACTTAGGATTCTGGAGCCCATGTACACCATTAGTTAGGAGTGAAGGTTTTCCAACTCCCCTAGGTGGATCCTTCAAATCCACCAACCTGGTTAAAGAGCCGGACATTCGCTTTTCGTCCTCCCAATTTCGTAAACAACACGCTCGCCACGAGAAAACAGTGAGTAGTACTTCATTGACAGTGGCTGTATACACGTGGCTACTTGAGAGCATTTCGAGCGGGAGAACTGACTCTCCACACTCTCGGCCGTACCAGGGCACTTATCATTTGTAATGATAAGTGAATGAAAAACTACAAACAATATCGAACCAATTAATTCAATTATACTTACATAATAATTCCGTCATCTAATGTCAAACTTACCCTATTTTCTAAGACAATTTATTTAAACTTCATTAAACTAGAAACATCATATATCGAAATGTACAAAACTGTTTCAAAGGAAATCAAACAATATTCTTTGTTCAATAATAATATGTTAACTAAAATATGAAATTTTAGTACATGAAGTAGTTTACTAATCTAATACAGTATATCAGTCAGTTAATCTGATGGCCTCAGATGCTGTAAGACGTGTAGTATTGCGTAGAACAGTAGAGTTTAACAAAATAACTATTGACTACAAAGACGAATCGATAGATGCTTTACACAAAAAATAATAAGTAAAACTAATTAATGAAGCAATGCACAATCATGTATAGAACTATAACACCAACAATAAGTATGTGATTATGATTAATTTAGAAGATATATTCATAAAAAGGCCATTAGTACACTTTTTATGAACTCATCTACCATGTGCATATTTGTATATTTCACTTTAAGTCATACTGTAAATGTAAAGGCTGATGATACTACCCATTCTTCCAAACCGAAATAGGTGAGATGGAGTTTAACTTAGTGGATTAAAATCGAATCCCATAACCACAGAATCACCAATTCAAACTGGCTAGCTATAAACAACAAAATGATTACATATGGTGGATAACACAATGCTATTCAAATTAGTTAAGAAGTACTGAAAGCCAATTTATACTCTGCTTTGCAGCGGAAAGTGACACCGAATGCTTTTGACCTGACCTTTCTACATAGAAAGAAGGTTTAATGTTTGCCTATTACATAATCTCCTTTTGGTGCAATTTCAAGTCTGAAAACTTAACTGACATTTACTCATGACGTAAATTTCAAATTTATATCAATTAGTTGACCTACTCACTTAGCTATTTTGCTTCTTTACTAGTATTTATGATATTGTCCCAATGTTCATATTACTTCACTTTCTAGGTATTTCTCGATATTGCGAGCACTATGTTGAGATAAGATGGTGGTTGGAGGTAGTCGACAGGAAAACCTGAACCTAGGTTTCATGCTATTAGGCACTCGTCAGCAATGTGTACCTACAATCTTGGAGAAACTGGTGCTGTGATAAGCCAAGCTGGTGGTCGGGCTTGCCTACCGTGATGACCCAACCGAGCTATATTAGCTAGAACATATGTTCCTGTAAGTTCTACCATACCAGGCAGGTCGATTGGAGAACGATAAGACTAAAAGCAGCAACTCAAGGTCTGAGGGCAAAGTCGTACTGCTGACTGTAGAGGGGTGTGACAGCAGTAAGGTGTTTCAATCGGACAACCAGCATCTGCAGCGATGCTGCCTTCCCACAAGGAGGGGTGAGGTTAGAAAAGTTCGACCCTAAAAATGTCACACCTCACCTTACCTCACGGATTTCCGTCTCCGGCGGTAAGGCCCTTTGAAGAATGGGTCAACAACCTCCCACAAAAAGGCCGTGCGAGACCGGTCTCAAGCAGTTGTCCCTTGGGCTCTGCGGTCACGCTCCCAGGTCGTTAAGACCAACACTAATCTAATTTCCTTTTCAGGTTCCTCAAGAAATACCCTTCCACGGTGTGGGCAGCCGGGAACTGATATCAGCCCTCATACCCGTAACAGCGCACGAAACCAAGTTGGTCACATTCAAATCCTTCCTACACCTCCTAAAACCTCTCTTATCTCCATGACTAACCCTCCTCATATCTCTTTATCACATCGCACCGCTAGGGCAAACGATTCGAGTACGTGGAACGCTATTCCTGGTCTCCTGAAACCACGCTCTAAACTACACGTAGGAGCTCTTAACGTCCGAACACTGTGCCAAATAGGTCAACAGGCTTCCTTAGCTAGGACTTTAGAATCCCGCGCCATCGATGTGTGCTGCGTCTCCGAAACGCGCATACAAGATCCAAGTAGCGTCATTCATCTGACCTCACCATGCCAAAATAAAGAACCGACTCGACTCACACTTCGTGTATCTGGAAGCCCTGATTCCGCTTCCCGTGGCCTCGCCGGCGTAGGCATAGCATTGAGTCCTAGGACAGAACTAGCTCTCTTAGAGTGGATCACAGTAGACAGTCGTTTGTGCGCTGTCCGACTGATTGGAACAGTAAGGATCCGAAAAGATAGGGACACCCGTCGTTGCCTCTTTGTCGTCTCTGCCTATTCTCCCACTGACTGCAGCGCAGATGATGTAAAAGATGAGTTCTACATAAAGCTCTCCGACCTTCTCCGAAAAGCTAGGCGCCCGGATGTAGTAATAGTGGCCGGTGATTTTAATGCTCAAGTAGGTAAACTAAGCGATAGGGAAAGACACCTAGGTGGATCTTATGGTGTCGTGGCTCAAAGAATAGATAATGGCGACCGTCTGTTGCAGCTATGCTCAGATAACCGCCTCTTTCTTGCAAATACTAAATTTAAGCATAAGGAAAAACATATTTTAACATGGAGACCCCCTAATTCGTCCAAACGTTGGACCCAAATAGATCACATCGCTATCAGCCACCGATGAAGGGGCTCGATAGAAGACTGTCACTCATTCTGGAGCACATGCTTAGATTCAGATCATGCTCTAGTACGAGCGCGTATCTGCTTGCGTCTTACTGGACGTAGAAAAGACGCTGCAAGTAAACCTCTTAGGGCCCTAATTAATGATAATCAAACTAAGAGTATATTTCAGGAACAACTAGAAAAACAGTTAGGCAGCCATGTATGTGATGCCCACCCCGAGGCAGCATGGAATGATATCCGAAAAGCTGTGGAAACAGCAGTGATATCTGTTAGTACGGTAACCCGTAAGGTTAGGGAGCAACACTGGATCTCAGCAGCATCTATCGCACAGATAGACGCTCGGAAACTAATTCCACCTGGCTCTGAACATAATGAAGAGCGGAGTCAGCTTAAGCGCAAGCTGACAAGAAACCTACCCAATGATCGTGAACAGTGGTGGGTAGCGAAAGCAAGAGAGATGGAAAAGGCAGTGGCAATACGTAATAGCAGACAATTGTTCAGACTTGTTAAGGAAACTGGTATTAGGAAACCGACTGTTAGCGAAACACTCTCAGAGAAAGATGAACATATTATTCATTCTCAATCCAGGAGATTGGATCGATGGGCAGAACACTTCAGGCATCAGTTCAACTGGCCTTCAGCAACACGTCGGTTTCCCACGATCTTCAGTCAACCTGAATGGCAAGTTAATGTAGGTCCTCCGTCTCTTTACGAAGTTGAAAAAGCCATAGGAAATCTGAAGCGAGGGAGAGCAACAGGCCCTGACAGGCTTACTCCTGAGATTTTTAAGGATGGTGGTCCAATATTAGCAGTGAGATTAACTAAGGTCTTAAGTAGAATTTGGGAACTGGACGTAATCCTATATGACTGGTCTCAATCACTGATTGTGCCAGTTTTTAAGAAAGGACAAAAATCCTCTTGTGACAATCACAGAGGAACCAGTTTGACTAATAGAGTGTCTAAAATATTAGCTTCAATAATACGCCTAACCAAAGCTCGTGAAGAGCAGACTAGAGAAAATCAGGCTGGTTTTGGATCTGGAAGTGGTTGTATAGATCAGATATTTACACTACGTCAGGTTCTAGAATACAGACACACGTTTAGACGCCCCACAATGGTAGTATTTCTCGACCTTAAGGCAGCATTCGACTCTGTCGATCGTGAGGTTCTATGGCAGTGTTTGTCACTGAAATGAGTACCAAAGAAGTACATTAACCTTATAAAGGCTCTCTACTTGAACACAACCGGTAGAGTGAGAGCTTATGGCGAACTGTCATCAGAATTGATTACCTCAAGTGGTGTTCGTCAGAGCTGTCCACTCTCTCCATTCTTGTTCAACTTTGTCATTGATGTACTTTTACAGATAACACTTTCCTCATCTAAATTTACAGGAGTTGAACTTCTACCGGGAGGTTCACTTGTTGACTTGGAATATGCCGATGACATAGTTTTATTTGGCGAAGACGCTGACAAAATGCAGAGTATTCTGACCACTCTAAGCAACAATGCAAGCATGTTCGGCATGCGATTCTCTCCATCGAAATGCAAAATGTTGCTTTAGGATTGGGTTGCATCGACACCCGAATTAATGATAGGGAGTGAAGTAATTGAGCGTGTCGATCGTTTCACTTATCTTGGAAGTCTCATCAGCCCTTGTGGTTTGGCATGTGACGAAATCTCAGCACGGATACAGAAGGCTCGACTAGCTTTTGCCAACTTGCATCATTTATGGCGTAGGCGAGATATCCGTCTATCAAGCAAAGGATGGGTTTAC